GGGATTACAGGTATGAGCCACCACATTAGCTAAATGTCTAACTTTCTAGTACATATTTTATTTCAAATTGATTTTAATATTCACTAATGTGACTCCTGTATTTTTATTCACTCTGTTTCGTGGTGGTGGATGAGTTTAATTCTGACAATTCGGGTTGGGGATTTAGCTCAGTGGGTTTGGTCCTCAGCTCCAGAAAAAGAAAAAAAAAAAAAAAGCCAATTCTGACATTACATCTCAGTTTCAAAATCACAACACTAGTATATTTCCCTGAAAAAGGTGAATGTTACCAATGGAATGTGTTGCTCTCATTTCAGCTTTGATTATTTTCTTGTCTGCAAGAACCTTGTCCTTCCTGCTGATTTGTTTCCGAATCAAGAGAAATGAAAAGACTGACCTCCTCTGGGGTTTGGTGGCAAGTCTGGGCTGGCAGAGACGGGATTGCTTCAGGTTTTGCACCTGCACTTTGGTGACATTGTATTCTGGTGATGTTTTATTTACTTTTGTGTTCCCTTTATGCTGATGTGTTCCATCATCCTTTCTTTCTTGGAGTGTGAGGAGGGAACATGTGGAAACGTGGCTGTGAACAAAGGAAGACCCCACCCTAGGCAGGCCACACGATGGACCACCCTCCCATAGCCTCTTTATCTTTGCAACTGTAGGAGGAAGCTGCAGAGAGGTACTTTCTAGACAAGGTGTAGAAGGTGGGATGCTTATGGGCAGAGAGGGGTTTGAACACTTATTCTCTACAGAGGCCTCAGCTGCAAACCAGAGTTGCAAGTTTAAAGAGTGTTAAAGTCTGATCCATCTGACAGTCTGTATATTTTTCTGAAAGTTTGCACTCTTTGGTTGTACTAGCATTAGAGGGAACTTGGGGTTCCTGAAAGTAAAAACACTGTTCCATGGGCTTTCGCTTTGTTTTGCTTAATAAGGTGATGATCATTGAACCAGTATGTTCTTGTATACAGTCACCCCAGTAGGAAGGAACTCCTTGGAAAGGGGCAGGTTCATGCTTTGTGGAAGGAAATACATAGAAGGGATTTGGTCTGCATGAAAGAGGGTTTCCACAAACTCCATTTGCCTTTATTGCCCACAGCAGATAGATAGATATTTAGGAACTAACTGCACTCTCCACATTTTTCCTTGCTTGGTTTAATGGTCCTCCCATCCAAGACGCCAAGGTAATGAGTAAAATCTTTTCTCTCCTGTGACACCTGGTCATGAAACTGTAAGAAACCAAGCAGGTTCCCTGACGTAACTAAGGATGTCTTGGATTATGCTGTCTGAAGTTTTATTCCAGTCGATATGGTCATGCCTAAAGAAAGAAGAGTCTCAGCTAATCTCAGGGATGTGGAAAGAATGGCAGGAGGGAAAATACGATGGGAGAAGTCAGTCTGAAGAAGAAACAGTCTGGAGTTCTTCCCCTGTGCTGACTGCAGCTTCTGCTTGAAGTACAAGTTTGTATTCTTGGCAGGTTGCCTTCTGGAAACAAGATCATTGCTACCATTCTCTCAGCTGCGCACAGGTCTACTATTAACTTTCCAAGCTGAGAAGCCTTTCTCAGTCTCCTTCAGCTTTCCCTAGCATCTCTCTAGCTCCCCCTTCCCGTTTTCTCTTCCTCTGTAGACCTGTTTGTGCGCCTCTGCAGGCTTCCTCCAGCCTGTCTGCACGCCCATACTTAATCCTGTCCCAGTTGCGCTTGCTTCCATCACTTGCTTCCTCCTCCTGACATTAGACTGGCCTTGGTCTATTTTCCTCCTCTTTCTCAAGGTTACTCAGTTAACAGAGCTCCAAATTCAACAGCTCATTCTCAGCTTGTTCTTACACTTGGGAATAGTGGATGCTGGGGTCCATGCATGTTGACAGTTTGGGTGTCTCTCGCAAATTTGGCCCTATGGTGGGAAGGGAATAGGGTGCCCAAAGCCAGGTCTCTATTGCTTTGACTGTCTCCTCAACAAATCCATCCATTTATCCTCTCTGACTCATCTTTATCTTTAGAATCTTACTAAAGCCTACTTCCCAAGAACCCACTTCTGCTATATGCTAAGTAACTCAGCTACATTGTCTGGTTTTCATCCATCCAGAATTTCTCACTTGTATCTATGAAGCTCCTCTACCTGTTGTTCAGTTTCTTTAATCATCTGAAAACTCCACACTGCAAACTAATAACATTTTTCTTACCACAGAAGGTCCCCCCCCCCTTTTTTTTTTTTTTTTAAGAAAGTATCTAAATATACTCTCCATTTTGTCCTTCTGACCTTTTCTCATGCCAGTTTTGGAAACATTGACCTTTCCAGAATGTGTGCCCTGGTCTGAAGCTTCTGTCTGAAGTTGTATTCTAGACTAGATTCTTTGGCTTCATCATTCAGGCCCACACTCCTCTGCCCTCCTCATGGCCTCTGTGTCCCAGCTTCTCATGGTTGCTCTATGATTAGGCTTTCCCTTCCTTCCAGCTCACCCAGGGCCTTGTGTTTTGAAGGACTCAGCTCACATGCTTATGTTCCTTCCTGGCTTCACCGGTGGATTGGCTTTTCTCCTTCCACACTGATAGCTTTCTGTCTCCCTCATCTTGGGACTTCAGCATGACTAGTTCTGATGTTGCTGTGATCTCCCCAAGAAAACTAAGCCCTGTCATTGTTATGTCTGTCTAGTGTTGTGAAAACTCCCAGGGACTTCAGGGGTCAAATTTCTTGTTGGAGATTTAAGTGAAACCGGGCCTCACACAGCTCTTCCTGGTTACTGGTTCTGTGACCTTATACTTGTTGACTTTGCTTTTGAGAGGCAAGAAGAAAGATTGATTTTCAGGATCCAAGATGCCAGCAAGTGGACATACACATGAAATATTGCCAGAGTCTACAGAGCCTCCCCCCTGGACTGCAGACAAATGTTTCTTGTACTGACAGAGTACAGTGGAATTTGTTTCACTTGAAAAGTTGTACTGTAAGGAGATGGCTCCCACCAAAGAAAAGTCAGTTTCAGGACTGTTTTTTTAAGGTAGAATACTTGAAGCATATTTTCCTGTAGATGGTGATGGCCCAGCTGAGGCATCCACACCAGGGGCGGGGCTGGCATGCAGGAAGCCTCAAGTAGCACTCCTGTAGCCTGTTCTCAGCTTGCTCTCCTGCTCAGCTTTTGGCTGAAGGGCAATTTCTTAAGGGGAACCTGCTTGTCCTAGATGGTAATAGTTTATTTTCCTGCTGTGGATTATAGAAGCCACTTCTGGACCAAACTAAGTGTGTTACTGTGTTGTTCCCTGACAAACTCTTGCTAGAAAGGTTCAGTTTGGCATTGCCCTAAGAAACCTGTGAGGAGTCGGGCGTGGTGAAGGAAGGCTTTAAACCCAGCACTCAGGAAGTAGAGGCAGCAGGATCACTGTGAGTTTAAGGCCAGCCTGGTCTAGAATAGCAAGTTCAAGGCAGCCAAAGTTACACAGTGAAAGCCTGTCTCAAAAAAGCAAAAGAAAGCTGTAAAGAGATGTTGAGGTTTAATCTAGCTATATCAGGATGACTCTCAGTTCCTTTAGTTCCCTGCTCAGATGTGACTCTCCTAAGTATTTTAGCTTAGAAACTCTGTAGTTTGAGAAACTCCTCAGCTTGCGTAACATAGCAAACTAGCCATGAAGGTGGCCTCCTCACACTGTGATCGGAATTTAATTCAAACCACCATGTTAAGTAAATGAGTGACTGTTGAAATTATTTTCTTTGTTTGGTTTACCCACTGTTAGTCATGTTTTGTATTTTCACCTTTTTTGTAACTTAACTATAATGGTTTAATTTTATTTTTTTAAAGCTTATTGTGGTATAATAAGTATTTTTCAGTATATTTTACTGAGCTTCTGTAAATGGCATCTCAGTGTAGTTTCATGTCATTATTGAACAAAAACCAAAATAAACTTCAAATATCAAAGCATTGAAACATTACATGTATTAATACTATATTTAAATGAACTAAAATTGGTACCTGTTTAACATAAGTAAAAGGTTTTATACTTTCCCCCACTTTCCCATTTATTCATATAGGTTGAGAATCCCTATTCTAAAATCCAAAGCAAGCTTTTTTAATAACATGAACTCATATGACAGGTCATAGAATGCTCATAAATTTTCAAAGTATTACATAAGATGTCATGCCTGGTCTCTGTATATGAAACAGCTGAATTTGAGGTTAGTCCTGGATCCCATTCCCCAAGTTATCTCATATATATGCAAATACTATAAAATCTGAAGGAATTCTGATTCCAAGCATTTTGGAAAACAATACTCTTTTTTTGTTTGTTTTGTTTTGTTTTGTTTTTTTCCGAGACAGTGTTTCTCTGTGTAGCTTTGCGCCTTTCCTGGAGACCAGGCTGGCCTCAAACTCACAGAGATCCACCTGCCTCTGCCTCCCGAGTGCTGGGATTAAAGGCGTGCGACACCGCCACCGCCACCGCCGCCGCCACCGCCACCGCCACCCGGCCAATACTCAGTTTTTACTATCTGCCAGCAACTACAAATGCCATCTCTAGGCTCTGTGCACATTGGGCTTCCTGTATTTGGGCCCAATGTTTCCACTCTTGTCCCCTCCCTACCAGGCTGGCCATTCTCTAGTCAAAATCTCATTTTGTTGGTGCAGTGGTGTCTTTTGGTATGTCTTTGATTGGAATGCTCCTTCAGCCTGCTTCTATCAGAGGACAAAGCTTAAGGCTGAGAGTTTCTTGGCTCACTTTGAGAGAGTTGCCACCCAGACCCACGCTAGTTATCCTTCCCATTGACAGGACAGACAGCAGCACAACACTAGGGTAGGAGCAAAAAACTTCAGGGAGCACTGGACCAACCTACTCCAATAGCCAAGACCCTCAGGGGTCCTGGGAGCCTGACCCTTACTCATTGTTGTGTGGGGAAGGCATGGGGCATTCTTCATCGTGAGACAGTGCAGCCCACACTAGGCCTTAAGTAGAAATGCAAGGTGCAAAGAAGAAGAGTGTCGCAACTACCTCGACCAGCAAGGAGAATGCAACACCGAGCTCTTCTTCAAGCTGTTTATTCAGGCCGTTAACAAGTGTCTTCTCACCCTTGGAGGGGCTCCGTCCCATCCTTACATAGGTCCTGCTCTACCAACCTCCTTATGCCATGTGGGGCTATTGAATTGGTACACATCTGCCTGAGCAAACCATGTCATGATGCCAAGCCAAATATGGAGTTGTTTTTCAGAGAGCACTCACCATCGGGAGGGTGGAAGGCAGAAGCCAGCGCCATTTTGGGGTGCGGCTGTACGCAGCTCTCCACAGAAGAGCTGCTAGTTTTTAAAGTATTTTACATGGGATTGGATTTCTGTATATTGCATAGAAATTATATATAGTTATACAAATTTGAGATTGAATTTGTTAGAAAATGCTGTACATGTATTTCTAATCTTGTGCAAGATATTGTACCTACACAGTTCATTTAACAGTGTAATGCAGTTTGCTAATCCTTGAGTGATAGTATTACCAACTACTAGGATATAAAGAAAGGAAAGTTAGTAGTTAGACATTACAGTCAGACTTGTAGGAATGTTAGGTGTGTTTACAGGGTCAAGCAGGGATGTATTTTATGCAGCCCACACTAGGCCTTAAGTAGAAGTGCAGGGTGCAAAGGTGAAGAACTCCTTTTTTTTACAGCAGTTACAGAAACAAAGAGGTTTGGGTATGCACAAGGAAGTGGTGCAGGAGGAGGCCGTGAGAAAGGCGCTGGGGAAGGGGCCACTGCTCTGGCTTATCTCCGAGTGGACTACTTCTTCTTCCTCTGTGCCCGGACCTTTGAGCCAAGAGCCCGCAGATCTGAGTACAAATTCCGCTTCAGGATGGTGCTGCTGCACAGCAAGGCCCCTTGTAGGGCCCCCATCAGCCCACAGGTGAAGATATCTTGGCCTAGAAGGCAAAAACGGTGACCCATGAAATGTCTACCCACATGAGGACAGAGCAAGGGTCCTTGTGTTCATCCCTCCACATCAAGGCCGCCCACAGAGAAACAGCTTCAGCTCGACCCCAGGACTGTAGTCAGCCAAGGCAGCCCAGCTCCTGGCATGGGAGCTGAAGGGGACAAGGAGCCCTGAGGATGGGGACAGAAGACTGGGCCCGGGAAGCCCAGATTCTAGCAAAGTGAGGCGGCACTGTACCTGTCAGGTAGAGGTTGGGGATGGGGGTCTGGGCTCGTAGGGAAGCCATCGCACGAGGATGCAGACGAGCCAGGTCGTGGTCAGCCCCATAGGTAGCACCCCGGGGAGCAGCCAGATAATACTGGTTGGTCAGTGGGGATCCTCCAGTCACACTCTCCACCTAAGGAGGCAAAATGGCCGGGCAGAGTGAGCAAGGGAATCGCAAGGGCTGCTCCTTCCTTGAGACTTGTTACCTCAGGCTTTATCCCTGAACCCAAGACAAGACAGAGCACCCCGTATGTCAGCCCTACCTTGCCCTCCAGATGTGGGAACAGTTTCATGACCACGGACATAGAGGCTTCCAGGAAGGCACTTTTGAGGGTCTCATAGTCGGCACCCCGCTTGCCCTTTGGCTCTTCCTGCCACTCCTCAAACCACTCAAAGGCCATGGGTACCAGCATAGTCATTGTGGACCGGTCTGCAGGTAGAAGGATGGCCATGTTACTACAGCCTGGCCCTCCCTTGCCCCACGCCCAACTCCCCCGGGACCTAGAGTCCTACCTGGGAATCGGTCCTCCCAGGTTGGGTCCTTGCTTGATGGGAAGGCAATGAAAATAAGGGGAATGTGTTCTGGAGCCTTTTCCTTGGGCATAGAGACATAGCATTGCATCCTGTGGATGAGGGGGTGTGTGTGTGTGACTGCCAATCTCTAGGCCACCGCCCTACCCCACCCCTGCCCAAAGCCAGCACCACCCAAAAGATGGTTCACTTCCAGGAACTCCCGACGGGGTGGAACAGACGCAGCTTTGGGATAAAAAGCCTTCCCAGGAGTACACGGGGGACTGTGCACCTCCTCCCTCAGCACATACCCTCCTGTTTATACCTAGAACCGGGTCAAGTGTGGAAGCGGGGTCTTGTGGTTGAGGTCCAGTGCCCTCAGTCTTCCCCAGCCCCTCCCAGCTTACGCTTTGTCCATGTCTGTGTCAAAATAAACGTAGTAGTTGGTGGACGGAAGCTTCAGGTCCTCCTTGGTGCCTCGCAGGCAGACGAAAACCGAGAACATGCTCATGCCGGGCCGTACTGTTGCCAGCTGCTTCTTCACATCTGGAGAGAGAGCCAGTGAGGACTGCACTGCAGAAGCGCTGGCCTGACCGCTACTCCCTGCCAGGACAGCCTCCGGATGTTCCCTTTTCTGATCTGCAGCTTGCTACTCGGCTGGCGGCTAGGGTCGAGACCTAGCCATTTGTACAGCTATTTCTCCAGGGCCCTGCTCTCTGTCTCCTCCTGACCATGTCAGACAGCCTCAGACTCTTTCCACCTCTGCTCTGTGCACCTTTAGACATAGGTGCTGGCTCCCGGCACAGCTAACTCACAGCACCTCTGGACAATCAGGCTGTCTCCATCCTCTTCTTTAGATGTTTAGATTTTTCTTTTTCTTTTTTTTTTAAATTGTAGGTGTGCATAGATAAGTGCATGTCTGGATATGCAGGGTGAAGTCAGAAGACAACTTGGTTATCTTCTTCCACTCTGAGGATCTAACTCAAATTATCAGACTTAGCAGCAAATACTTTTTTACCCTTTGAACCATCTCAGTGGCCCTTGTTTTGTTTGTTGAGGCAGGGTCTCATGGAGCCAAGGATGACCTTGAATTTCCTATCTTCCTGCCTCTACCTTCAGGGTGCCAAATCCACCACTGCTGTCTTGCCTGGTTCTGGGGATCAAACCCAGGGCTTGATGCATGCTTAGGCAAGCACTCTCCTCAACTGAATTTCATCCCCAGCCCTCTTCTGCCCTTTAAGTGAGTCCCTTTCTGTTAAAGTCCCAGTTTCTCAGGCAAAGGAAGGCAAATATACAGGCTTTGGTTTCTCAGCCTGAAGTATAGAGTCCAGACATTTGCATCTGACAGAACAGGGCCCTCAGAGCTCTGCCGTTGCCTCTGTGAAGGGCCTCTTCCCCTGTGTGGTCCTGGGTTCCCCAAATGTAAATGTTATGGTGCTGGTAACACAGACCAGAGACAGACAGCCAGAGGGGTGCCCATGAAGAGTTATAACCCAGGCTGAGTTATAAGCTCCACAGATGAAATGTCAGTTCGGAAGACCAGCCTCTTACCTGGCAGACCGCGGACACTCTCCGGCAGTAAGTGCTGGTAGGTGTTGAACAGTCCCGCACTGGAGATGACAATGGGGCAGTGGATGTTCACCAGCTCGTGTCCCTTCTTCACGCTGACACCTGCAGGCACCAGAAGTTGGCTGAGCTGCTGGGAGTTCAAGAAGAAAAGGGCCTATACCCCTCTCCAGATCTCTCTTAAGTGTGGTGGGATATATATTGTGGGATCATACTGTGAGCCCCGAGTTTGCGTCTGCATTAATTAAATAAAATCAACCTTGGGTCAGGAGGCTGAATTAGCCACTAGCTGACAGAAAGTAATCACAGAGTCACAGGGTGTCTGTAAGAGGATAAAGGCACGGGAAGTAGGAGGAGGGGCTTAGTGCAGCGTGGGTTCTTTTGTTTTGGCAGAGCAGAAGAATGTTCTCTTTTGTGGAGATGCCAGCAAAGAGAGAAGGTCAGCTAGCTGCTCCTCAACCTCTCTGAGCTTACCCCAGCCTTTGACCCCCGAGTCTCACTGGTAAGTAGAACAATACAGACTTAGGTAAACGCTGTATTTGGCTGCTGCCAGAGAAGAGGGCCAGTAACTGCGGAGCCACGTTTGCTGGCTAAAACAGCAGCAGATTAAAGCGCGGCCTCTGTGCCGATGGAAAAACACTTAAGGGCTGGGGATGTAGCTCAGTGGTACAGCCCTTGTCTAGCATGTGTGAGGCCCTAGGTCCAGTGCACCCCTACCCCCACAAAACAAATAAAATCCAGGAAAGCCTCAAATACATTTCTCTCAAGGCTACAGTTGTAGCCATGGCATGGTGACATATGCCTGTAATCCTAGCATTTAGGAGGTAGAAGCAGGACAATCAGTTCTAAGGACAGCCTCAGCTAGCTAGTGAATCTGAGGCTAGCCTGGACCACATGAGACCCTGCCTCAAAAGATGAGTTCTGTCTATAGGCACACTATCCAGATGTCTCCTAGGGCAGACCCTACTTTCTCAGCCCTGGAAGTTCCTCAGCAAAGCAGGCCTGGGCTCAGCTGCATCTGTGCTTGCCTTCTCCAGCTCTTCCCGCCCACCCCTATGGACTTGCTTATCTCTAGCCATGTCTTGCCGTCCCAAGAACATTGTTCTACGGAGTCCCGGGCCTCCTTCACTGCTGCCAAGTTCTATGTCCACAATACTCCCCAGATGACTCAACCTTCAGGAAACACCACAGTTTCTGTGATCTGCTGTGGCCTGTGTGTCCAGCGTCATCCCTGGCCCTTCTCATAAAACCATTATGCCAAACCTGATCTTTTGTAAAAATTGTATTTTTCTTCCTTTATTTTGTGTGGGGGTGAGGTGCTGCAGTCCACATGTGGAGCTCAGAGGACAGGTTGCAGGGTCGGTTCCCTCCTTACAACATGCAGACTGTAGGAATCAAACTGAGGTCATCAGGTCTAGTGGCTGGGACGTTATCCACTGAGCTATCTCTGCAGCCTAGACTCCAGCCTCTTAGCCTGCCTGCATGAACAGGATGGCTCATCTATAGGGAGACCCCAAGTCTCCTTCACCACGGCCCACGGACCCCACCCCCACCCCCACCCCCCACCCCGGCTCAGTGCAGCTCTCTTACCACAGGCTCGCCCATCAGAGTCCAGCAGCACACTCTGTACAGTGGCATGGGTGAGGACTGCACCCCCGGCCCGCTGAATCACGGGGATGATATGGAAGGCAATCTCACTGGAACCTCCTCGGGGGTAATATGCCCCTTGTAGGTAGTGGTCAACCAGCACAGCATGCAAGGAAAAGGCCGTGTGGCTGGGGGTTACTCCTACAGAAGGAAGGAAGAAGGAAAGAAAAGGTGAGCAGGCAAAAGCAGTCACTTGGCGCCATGCAGGAAGAAACAGGGCTTCCTGTGAAGGGTCACATGAGTCCATCCCAGGATCCAAATGCTCCCGAAGGCCCAGGGAAGATACCAAGTTTATTGGGAATATAAATAATACTCCCCGAAAACCACTACCCTGCCAAGACCAAGGAAGTCACTGACACTGTTGGCTAAAGAGAAAAAATCGCCCTGGAGCAGTGTGACAGTACATGCCTACCATCTCAACACTCAAAAGCTGAAATGGAAGGATCAAAGCCAGACTCGGCTACGGAGAGTTCCAGACCAGCCTGAACAAAGTCCAAACCTGTCTTAGAGGAGTGAGGGATGTGGGGGAGAAAATGTACTGGGGATGTAGCTCAATTAGCAGGATGCATGCAGGAAGGTCTGATTTGATCTCCAGCACCACATACACCAGGCATAGTGCTAAAATCCTAGCACTAGCAAGGTGGAGGCAGAAGGATCAGGAATTTAAGGGCATCCTTGACTACAAGAATGCAAAGCTTGCCCAGAAGACAAAAAGAAAAAAGAAAAGGGAGAAGAAAAATCTAGAAAGTAGAAAAAAAAAAGAATTTCTACCAGAGTCCAGCAGGGGTCAGACTTCTCAGCCCTTATCTTCAAACTCCAGCAGACCTTAGTCTATCCTGGTTTGTCAGCTAGGCAGATGGGAAAGAAAGACCAAACGTTGGGAGGGCAGCAGCTTAGAAGAGCCTGGGCCAGTAGCCACCCACCGTAAGTGGGGAAGATGTAGCTGAGAACAGCCCGGAGCTCGGGGGAAGCCCCGAGCTGCTGCAGGACCTCGGCCAGGCTCTGGGTAGATGCTCGGCAGAAGGGGGAGAATCGAGTCAGCAGCCCAAGCTTGTGGAGGAGCTGGGTCAAGGTCAACGGGAGGAACTTCAGCAGGACGGCGTGGAAGACCCCTCGGGACACCACCTGGGGAAGAACGGGCAGAGTGAGTCTTTGAACCGCTGGAGCCCAGGCACCATGCCAACAGCCAGCACTGACTGCACGCCCAGCAACACCTACTCATGTCTGAATTTCTGGACCTAAAAAAATTTAAGCTGGGCAGGCATGGTGGCTCAGGCTTGTGATCCCAACAGCTGAGACGCTAAGGCAGGAGGACTGCCACGAGTTCAAAGGCAACCAGAGCTACACACTGACACCCAAGCCAGGACTACATAGCAAGACTGTCTCCCTCACCATAAAACAATAACAGCAAATAAATGGGCCCTAATTTTTTCTCATTCTTCACACTAAAATGAGACTATATTTGCTCTTCCATTTCTTGCTCAAAAAAAAAATGGTTTTTCATATGGAGTCCCACATATATCCCAGTGACCTTGAACTCCTAATCCTCCTGCTTCTGCCTCCTGAGTACCAGGATTACAGGATACACCACCAGGCCCAGTTTAAGGGGTGCTTGGGATCTACTTCAGAGTTCCGTACATGCTAATAAGCATGAGCCATTTCCAGCCCTCAAATTCCTTTCAAACATCCTGGTCCATGTGTGATTGATAGCATACACCCAGCAGAGGCAGGGGGATCTCTCTAAGTTCCAGGCCAGTCAGGGCTACATTGTGAGAATCTCTCAAAAATCACAAAACAAAGAGTCTGGTTCATCTCAAGCCTCTCTCAAAGCCTTATTTTCCCAGGGGTACCATCTAGAGGTCAGAGTGAGGGTAGCAGCTGAAGAGTCTGGCAGGGTGCAAGCGTATACAAGTGTACACCAGATTCAAGACAGACGTGACTAGTCCTGCCTGCCTGCCTCCCCAACTCAGTCCCTCCCAACCAGTTACTTCACCAATGAAAAAGTCAGACTTGTTGGAAATAAACTGGGGATGCTGATCATGGCGCACGCTACCTTGACTAGCTCCATGTACTTATCAATGACACCTTCTTCCTCGGGGAACTTCTCCTTAAGGCCCTGGATGTATTCTTTCCTCCCACTGTACATGGGAAACTCCTTTCGGCCATCAGGCCCTTCTAGTACCATCATGTCAAAAGGGGAGTCCATGGGGGCCCAATCCAGCTGCCCTTCAGTGATCTGGTCCAAGATAAAACGGCCAATGTTGCCTTCCTGCATTTTCCCAATATAATGGATTCCTGTGGGGAGGTGGAAAGAAAAGGAGGCACAGAGATAAGGGGACCGGGCCCTGGAAATGTGCCCAGTAAGGAAGAGGTCATCACCCTGGAAATGTGCCCAGTAAGGAAGAGGTCGTCACCCTGGAAATGTACCCAGTAAGGAAAAGGTTTCCCTGCCTGGCCAAGTTCATGCCCAGAGAGGGCTGCCCACCCTTTCTATAGGAAATGTGCCAGAACATATACCACCCAGTGCTTGCCAGGCCAGACAGAAATGGAGATGCCCAGAAAGAAGTTGGGACATCCAAAACATAGAGGTGCCCCCATATTACCCTATTGTGTGTGCCCCATATCACTCCATAGTGCCCATTCCTAGCCTTGGAAAGACAGAGCCATGATCCCGACCCTCTTCCACATAAGCCTTACCAGTGTCAAATTCAAGGCCATTTTTCCCGAAGGTATGGCAGCAGCCTCCTGCCTTGCTATGTTGCTCCAGTACAAGGACTCTTTTGCCAGCTTTGGCCAGAATCGCAGCTGAGGCCAGCCCCCCAATGCCACTGCCAATCACCACGGCATCCAGCTTCTCTGGTACTCGATTGACTGAGAACGCTGTAGAAGGGAGGAGACAGAGAGTGGGCTTCTCAGACGAGAACAGGAAAGCAGAGATGTCAGAGAAGCTGGAGGGGACTTCTCTAGCTTGTACTGTGTAAGAAATCTCTAAGGCAAGCTGGGCATGGTGGTGCATTCCTGTGATCCCAGCACTTGGAAGGTGGATTAGGAGTTCAAGGTCATCCTTAGTTATACAGCTGAACTGGAGGTCAGCCTGGGCTCATTAGACACAGTCTCAAAACAGCACAGACCCGTCTAGGGCAGTTCAGCACAGAATTCTTGATTAAGATGTCTCAAAACACTTTATCAGGGAATACATAGGACCCGGCAGGCAAAATAAACAGTGATGAGCTGGGTCTTAAGCCGTACTATGTACTTGGGGATTTTCATACCTTTCGAAGAAAGTAGAAGTCAGCTAACTACTGTAGAACAAAACCGGAAAGAAAACGACGTGTGTGTGTGTGTGTGTGTGTGTGTGTGTGTGTGTGTGTGTGTGTGTGTGTG